ACTTATTTCAATTCATCGATTTGAGTATTAACTAATATTATTGATAATTTTACGCTCAATACTTTTTAGTGTTTTATTTTCTTTAAATTAACATTTTATATGTGAACACATGTCCGTACAACACCAAAACCCGAAAATTCCTAAAAAATATTTAAGCTTCCGCGTTAAATATGAATTAATTCGTTTTCTTATTTCATATTCGCCTACAATTATAAATAGTTGTACAGTAAGTACTTCATTAACCAGATGTTAGATACTAGAGACTTGCGTTCGCTTGCTCTTCAGTAACAGACAACAGCAATGACGTCCAAACTATGGCAAGGAAAATGTGCTTTAACTTAATTCAATGATCTATTGGCTAATAATGTTGATCGAAAAACTAGAATTTCCAGTAAGGGAAGTTTACTTTAGTCTATTTAAGCTAACCTTAGGCACACTTTAGATTGCATATTAATAACAAGTTCATGTTTTTATTCAAATTTTTATATACATGCTGTCAACAAGTGGAACAACAAACCAGCAGGCATCGTCAACGATGTTTAACTTCTAATTTAGGGCAATCAACTAACAATATGTCTCCATATTCCCCCTGTAACGAAGTGTTTAACGAGCACAGTCTTGAAAACTGCTGCAAAGCTCTTGTCTTAAGTAGGATCCGCTGACCGGTGTAGGCAATCTCGCACGGGTCATATATAAACGAGCTGTCTTTAGTAAAAATAAATCATTAAATAATTACATGTATCTAAAAAAAAGGGGAAGAATTCAAGCAAAAATTAAAAGAATTTAAAGAATTTAAGATCAACGTTTTTAAGAAATAGTACTCGTGTCCCCAACTTTTTCGTCATGTATGACCAATCATTAACAATGTGACAGAGAGAGTGAAGGTCAACAAAGTGAAGGTCAGAAAGAAACGGCAAGGGAGAGGAAGAGAGAGCAAGAGATATAGATGTAACCTAGAAATTAGGCGCTCTATTGCTGAAAGGTCCAGCCTTTATCGGCCGCAAACCCAACTTTAGTTACGACCACACAAAACCTAATTCAAGTGTAATCTACACCACTGAGCACTTGTACCCGAGTATATTCATTTCATAGTCGCGTTTCATCGATCGCATACCCGACTGTGGTTCAAAAAATACAGAATATAATTAATGTATGATCTACAGCACTGATGAATTGAACCCGCTTCCTAACTACTTGGCTACGCGACCATTAAAAATTCATCGACCGAAACTTGAGGAATATTACGAAGACTTTGCCCTTGTTTTCATTTAAGCATAACGTTTTTCGCATCAGAAGAGACAACTTTATAAGGACTTCACTGTAAGTAATAACAACAGCGTGATAAAAGAGGGAGAAGGCCCGTTTTTTTCTTAACTTTGGTTTAAAGTAATCTGTAGCTAGAAATTGTTTTCTAAAAAATATTTCATTTAACAAAAAAGGGAGGAAAAAAGGGATAAGACAGCTATAGTTGCCTTAGGATAAATCAAAAATACTTTATCGAGCTCCATCACAAATGCACCGCTGATGTTCCGCTGATCTAAATTTCTTTTAAATACCTCCAATAGATCTGAAAAACTTGCCAACCGATATCTACCGGTATTGTTGGCAAATATGTTTGATCTCGAGTAGAGAAAGTCAGTCCAGTCTGATTTTTCTTTATAAACTTGGGTCAGTTTAGGAATTTCAAAGATATATAAACAAATAGACATCGTCATGCTCCTCAGTCCCCTTTTTATGCACATCAGCGAAATATGAGAAAAACGTTCATTTTGTCAAACGTTTGCAAAATAAATGAAGAATTGTACCAGCTGAAGTAGCGCAGGATATCTAATGATCCGCGTTGCTTGACTAAAGTGTTCTTAATTTTTCTTTTTGATACTGACGTTAAAAATATGTAAGTTCCGTGGCCAGAAAAGGAAGCTAATCACAAACGTGTCTTTTGACTGAATATGGGATACGTGGCTGCTCATGTGCTTTTCAAACGAAACAGAACTGTACCATTTTTGTGTCAAAGTTTCAAATCTGGCCAATCAATATTTATGCAAAAGTCTTGAACGCTTCTTATAACACAAATTCCGCGCGAAAGTTTCTCGGAATTGTTAAAAAGAATTATTTGTTTAGTCATTAAAGTTTAATTTAACTTTAAGATAAAAAGAATTATGATAGCATTTCGGCACTTATTCGCATCCTATCGAGAACAGTACCCTGGCGAAGAAAGGAAATTGATGCTCTCCTCCTCCTCGCTATCTCTTTCCTCTCTTTGAAAAATAGTCCGATGAATCTACGTTAATTAAATACACGCTAATTGAAATTGCATCGTTGTTGCTTTGTATCTGATGTCTAATGGAGCCGCTGAAATCTTAAAAAAAAAACTTTCACAAAAAAAATGTTGTAAATACGCGATTGTAATAAAATTAAACCAATGAAGTGTAAAAAGCCTTTAAAAATTTGAGAATCATCATCATCATCATCATCATCGTCACCAATATTTTATCATAAATTTTTCCTTTGAGTTGACAACATAGAATTATCGCCCGGAATACAGTCAAAACCTGTCATTCGGCAGCTTTTTGCTTATAATACATTTACAAATGACACCTTTGACTGCTTTACTGTTTTTCACGACTAAGATATTATATGAGCAAACAAAGTCTTTGTTTGCTTTCTACGTTTTGTCTTTCATTCGCTAAATAGGTGAAAATATTCCAATGATCTACAGCGAATACGGTATGCGGAGAACATGTTTATATGAATGGCATAAAGCATGCATAGCAGCGCGAAAACTGATGGCTTATATAATATCCGATTTGGTCAAATCTTAATCGCTGCCGACAACGTATACTTTGACAAAATATATAGAGGGAAAGCTCGACAAATGCCGTGTGAGTCTGGAAACGTTGGCTCCAATTCATCCATAATATTGTAAATGATGTTTGTAACGTAACGTACCATCGCATATAAACCTTTGTTATCGGTTATAAAAATGTAGTCTGTTTAGACTGGAAACTTAAGATTTTTTATATATATATACTTACTATATATATTAATATAAAACATATTCGGTTCTAACCGAATCTTTTTTATCCGTCACCATTATCCCAAAACAAATTACAAAAACAGTAAAAGATCTAAATTTTTATGGCCTATATTATGGAGTGGACGCAGCTGTTTTTTATTTTCAGAATAAAAGTTTTGATCGTATAGACGTGGGAGCGTTATAGGCGTGCCCTTTGAAAAGTTTAAAACATTTCCAAAATATTTTGCAAATTTGTAGGCAATGTCTTCCTTTTTTTGCTAACGGGAAAATGTTTACCATATATACTACGCAGTTAGGCGGGCGAACATATGGACAGACTAACAGATGGATATGCTTAGATGAATTTCGAAATTGAAACTTGCCGAGAATTTAAATGCTTAATAGGGTTTTTGAAGCTTGTTACTGTACTGTGTCTTATAAAGATATTGAAAAAAAAAAATTTTTTAATATACTATGATATTGGATAGGCGTGGTTAATTGTTAACATTTTTTTAGAGGTATTACTAATTTTTGCAAATATACCAAACCAATTTTCTATTTTTTTTAAAAACAGAGGTGTTATCAGATTGTGTGGTATTGTAGGCGTGTTCCTGAGCCGATTTGGACTATTTTCAACATTAACCTGCGTTTAAGAAATTCCAACGTCTCTGCCCAATTTGAAGCCGTTAGCTTCCTTTTTTCCGGCCAAGAGAACGTTTAAAACAATTATGACGGACGGACGGACATGCTTAAAAATCGAATCGAAATTTGATGCTAAATATATACACTTTATGACATCTCAGAAGCTTTCTTGTGGACGTTGCAAACGTTTTGACAAATGAATATATCTCTCATCATACGGTTATGAGTGCAAAAACCAACTCGAATTAATGTGTTCGTAGGTAAACTTTATTCGAATATTTTAGTAGTAGGACTGTATACGGTTATCTTTCAGCTACAACTACAGTTATATAAATAATCATATTTTGATCATTAAAGATTTGCATAAATAAATAACTTATTAGCAGCGAACTATTATTATACCATGTATTATGTAAATTGTGATCAAAAGCACTAACATTCAAAATTCATTTCGGGAAAAAGTTTTCACGTAGAAATTTAAAAATGCGCATTTCACAATAATTGACATAAACAAATTCCGTAATATTCGTCGAATAATTAGCGAAAAATAAATATAAATAAATTATTTTATATAAATTTCTATTTATTTGCATTCACTTGGTCAAAACGTTTGCAACGACCAGAATGAGGCTTCAAAGAGCCCTCAAAATATATATATATTTTTGATGAGCATCAAATTCTGAATCGATTTAAGCATGTCCGTCTGTTCGTATGCCCCGATGTCCGTCTTTCCGAATGTCCATCAGTCCGTTAGTCAAATAAAGCGATCGACTCCGAATTTGACAGAAATATTAAAAGTTCTTGCACTCAGGCTGGCATTAAAATTGAGCCAAATTGGTCGCAGGACACGCCAACCTTACTACGAAAGTGAAAGATTGTTATTAAAGTGTATAAAAATTTCATTTTTTTGAAATACCCTTATAATGCGTAGAAACAAGCTTCAAAAAGCCCATAAAGTGTATAAATTCTTAGCTAGTTTTAATTTCGGAATGCAACCAAGCATGTCCGCCTGTTCATCGGTCCATCCGTACGTTTGCGCAACTATATAGTATATATGGTAAACGTTCGCAAAAACCAAGGTATCGTCTACAAATTTCCAAAAGAACTTGGATGTGTTCCAAACTGTGCAAAGAACACGCCTACAACGCCTACATGCCTAAGTAACAGAAACAGTAAACACCTTTGCTTTCTCTTTCTCTCTCTCTCTTGCTCGTTGCTCATAAACTCCGACCGACACACGCTATAAATTTTCACAAAATTATTCTACAACAGTACGGCGATGGGTATAAAAAATTCGGCCAAAACCTGAAATAATTTTCTTATTTGTTTGTTTTCATTTCAGTTTTTTGCGCATTACTTACTAAAGCATCAAATTGGCTCCACCAACGAATCTTACTTATAACATATCTGCCATGTCTCAACATGGCAGCCAAAATGGAAATTTAAATACTAAGCATACGCAAAATAGCGATCAGATGACAATTGGCGATTTTTTTGCGTACAAAAATGTCTTCATCACAGGCGGTACTGGATTTTTAGGTACCGTACTAATTGAGGCGTTGCTTGGTACCAGCCCAGATATTGGTAAAATTTACGTCTTAGTAAGAAGTAAAAAGAATATCGATCCACAAGAACGTATCAAAAGGATTCTACAGAAACAGGTAAGTTATAATAAAATATTTCAAAAATTTATTTTCGCCTGTAATGCGGAAGAGAGTACCGCGTGTAGAATGTTGAACTTAATTTTACCGCATTAGTTATGTAAATGCTAGAGAATTGAAAAAAAGCGTCAATATAAGAATTTTCATCTACTAAGAACTCTTTACAAAAAAAAATCCAATATTGCAGAGTGTGAAAATTTATTTATTTTCCTTTTTTTAAATCTTTTTTTTAAGATAAATATGACAGGTGTAAAATGGGTATTCGGTCACGACCAACTATAATTTTCTTATTTGGTTTTTTTCGCGGACTCGATCGCAAAATGCCTAGACTTTTGCAAAACTCTGCCTCCAGTTGTACGTTATTTAGAGTACTAGCTTGACCACATTTCATGCATATTACACATTGGCTTCTTTATAGCTCACACCAACTGTGCTACAAGCGTATATAAGTTTGTGCATATACAAACGTATATAAGTACGCAACACCCAAAAGGACTTCATGCAATAAAATCATCTTTTATTATAGGGAGAAGAAAGCGATTCTGAATCGATGTAAGCTTGTCTGTTCGCCTACCTCCCTTGTTCTCTTACGTTTAACCTACAAATTGCAATTTTTAAAACATTTTGATGTTGTGGCCCAAGGACAAATGCTATTGAAAATAGTTCGGATCGGACTACTGTTCCCGTCACTCTCCGTATAGAGCCTTGTTTCGAAAAATCTTTATATAAATAACTATATTAAGCGATGTGGTGTACGGTAAGCTCTTATGTACGCAAAATTTCTTTGATGACTTGCAAACATGGCGTGATTCGATAATTGGAAAGCTTCCTGTACATGTTTTTCCCCTAAAGCAGTCCCTGATTCACTTGTATTTCTTGTAACCCCAATGCCTTACAACCGCTTCCATATTGGAAGGTAATATTGGATCGGTAATGATCATCATTAATGGCTGTACTAACATTTGTCCCATTTAAGATTCAAAGAGTCTTTTTAAAAACTTTTCAACATACTCTATGTCTTCTAGTATTATTTTCTAAAAACATCTTTAAAACACCCGAGCCTTTTGGCATTATTACTTTCCCAAACTTTCCCGGTTAAAAGAAAAGAAGACGGCAGTATGTACTTATATTTTAAAATAAGTGATTTTCGCGGTATTATAATATTTGACAAAAACATCTTGAAACAACTGCGCCTATTGTATGTTCCGTTGAAAGGTAGAATTCCCTAAGTATATGTAATATAAGCATAGTTCATGAAAAAATCTAGCAAACTGCAGTTCATGAAATTGGACTTTTTGAATCATTTGATTTGACTCATTTAAGATCACGTGTCCTTGGAAATGTACTTAGTGAGTTTTTTCCTACCAACCGATGCTATAGTTTATTTGTTAACTTATCAAAATCGATCATTTGTTCGTATAAACAAAGAAATTTTATTCGACTGTGGTCGATTCGTTTATACCCTTCACCTAAAACTTAATACAGTAATTTTCTGCTATTTACCATGTCTTGCTTTTGAGACTATAGATATTCGCGGTTTACGTTACACTGCGAACGCGTTCTTTGACTGACTCAACTCATTTTCAATGCTAAGCTTCGTGCAGTAACTTTCAATGTGTTTGCCTAATTTGAAGTGGACATCTTCAATACGAGCAATACACAGACGGACAGATAGACAGACTGGTAAACCCATACCGATTTAGAACTTATGCTGATCACGAACATAAATATTTTATGAGATTTCTGAAGCCTACCCATCTATGTTTATTGCAAATGTTTGAACAAGATCAACATACCCCCACATTGTGGTTTATACAACGCGTATACAAATAAATTTTTTATCAAAATTTGGATTCAGTCACGACAATTTCTTTTCATATCTTATGGACATTTTCAGTTTCTCATAAGAACTATGATAGGCAAGGATATGGTATTTTTGCGTAAAAAAATTTCTTTTTGAGGTAAACACTTGAGGCACACAAGTGGTTATTTATTCGCCAACTGTTCAAAAAAATAACCAATAACTGGTAACCATTCGTATTCTACTTCTATTAATAAATCCGTTCACGAACCAAATGCACAAACGTGATCGATATACACCCAAGAGCCACATATTTTATCAGTTTCCTCTCAATTGCGTTTTTAAAGTAATATAGGCTTATAAAGTTGATCGAAAACCGAAGTCGCCTGTAACCGCTTCATGGCTGAATGCCTTTCATTGCATTGGACGAAAATTTCCTGACCATATTCTTTCACACGCTGTTTTGATGGTCCCCTTTTCTTTTTTTTGAATGAACAAAGTGCTAGCGATTAATTGCGACCACTCCAGGGCCGTGATAGATGTTCATTTTTGGATGATATGTTCTTGCTTCAACCCGACAAAGCAGCGGGCAAAATCATACTTCAGTGAAGGAGGGCCTTTAGGAAAAGTTTCTCCCGTTTAAAGACGCACTTCTTCGGAAATAAGGGAAACCGTTTAAAGTTTAGATATATATAGTAATTTGATGGCTTAATTCATATAAGTCAATCTTTCTAATCCGGCGGTTTCGAGCATATAAGAAAGTCTCGTTTAATTTCGAACAAATAATATAAAATCTTGTTTTCTCTTCCTTTTTGCTTCACATCATCTCCTTTAGCTTTTTGAAAAACATGATGACAACACTTTGAAGAAAATTGTTCCAGTGGTGGGTGAAATTGGCGAAGCGAATTTCGGTTTCACAAACGATCTCTTCACCGAACTAATTGACAAGGTTCATGTTATATATCATATCGCTGCCACAATTAAATTTAGCTCGCCGTTGCGTACGGCTATCAAAACAAATGTGACTGGCACTATGCATACAATTGAATTTGCAAAGAAAGTAAAAAATCTGGCCGCTTATGTCTATTATTCAACAGCTTTCTGTAACAGTAATAATCGTGGTTTAATATTAGAGAGAGTTTATAAATCGAAATTTGATCCGTATGATATGTTGAAATGGGCTGAAGATGATAACGCTTGGCTAGATTTCAACGAGGATAAATGTAAAGCAACAATTATGGATCATCCGAATACGTATACGTTCACCAAAAATTTGGCTGAAAATTTACTAATGGCAGAAATGAAAAATATGCCGGTTGCTATAGTAAGGCCATCAGTAGGTAAGTGAGAAGTTCCTACAACCATCATCTATCAATTTGATTGTTTTAACTGTGGGGTCAAGAAGAAGTCTTTAGTCTCTCGATACGTGTATCTCTTTTCCCATATAAACTTGGTCGTCCGATTCCTTAAGAAAATTTTTATAACTTCGCAAGTCAAGCTATGAAAGGCTTTGCATACAAAGACTAATACAGAGAGACTCATACATTTTAGCTTTTTATCTTCACACAACTTCCCGAGTCGAGCTATGAAAGGCTTTTCATACAGAGACTAATACAGAGAGACTCTTACATTGTAACTTTTTATCTTCACACAATTTCCCGAGTCGAGCTATGAAAGGCTTTTCATACAGAGACTAATACAGAGAGACTCATACATTCTAGCTTTTTACCTTCACTTGCTGACGGTTATTTCCGCAGCAAAGAAAGTAGACAGACGGACGGATACATCTGCTTATCTGACAATAATTTGACTCAAAAGAAAAAATTTTAGAATTGAGAAGCATTTCTTTCTATATAAAAATATTTTTTTTTGGAATGGGCCCAAATATGCTAATCTTACTGACGGATTCCCGTAGATATACTTACATATTACATAAGAGTGATATAAAATTCGCTTGACCAAAGACGAATGTAGTCTCGCTTTGAATATTTAACTGAACGACAAGTTTATTTGCTTTTTTTCAGTTTATGGGACCTGGGAGAGACCATTGCCCGGTTGGGTTGGTAATGCTAACTCGGGACATTTAGGTTTTATGGCTGGATTTGTAAAGGGCGTTTTCCGTGCAATGCGGGGCAGCCAGACGGCCATTATTGATGTTATACCCTGCGATTACGTAATCAACTCGTCATTAGTAATGGCGTGGTATGTGGCCACAAGACATATCGAACAACCCGAAGTAATACATTGCACTGCGGGTGAAGTGAATCCGATGACATGCGGGCAATTTTGTGATTATCTTAACGATAGTGTAAAACGTCATCCACCAGATAATTTTGTATGGAAACCTATCGCTAGACTGCGCAGTGGTTGGCGTTACAATTTATCCTTCTATTTGTTTCATTTGTTACCTGCCATGATAGTTTTAATACCAGAAAAACTTTTCTCATTAGGAATGCCACATCATACGTAAGTATCGGAAATATTAAGCCTAAAAGCAATCAATGATTTGTTTTATTAAAAGAAATAATGAAACGCTTAATATTTCTTAAATGATCGGAATTTTTGGTCTAAAAATATCAAAAGACTTAAGCGAAAAACCTTTTTACAGTCTCTTCGACTATATGCATGTATTTAAAAAAGGAAGCGGATTTTTCGATTATTTTCTACACAACGATTTTCGTTACGATATGAAGAATGCTTTACGTATCAATAGTGTAATACCTGAGAAGGATCGTTTACGTTACAATTTTGATGCTAGTCAATGCAATTGGTCGGAATTTATAGATCGTATCATAATCGGTATACGACGTTTCTACTTCAAAGAAGCCGTCGTCACCACCAGCTGGCATCGCAACTACTGGAAATTGTAAGCTCTTCCCCCTCATGGAGCGTACATTAAATTTTTAATAATCTCAACTTTTTATGTTTTTAGCTATAATGTACTCTATTATGCCGGTTACGTGTTTTTATTTATTATTCTACTTGTACTGATGACGTCATGGTTTCAATTGAACATTGCTTTTACTATAACCGCAATAATCTGGGGTTTCCTTGTTTGGTTGTAATATTAAAAAAACGTATTTTTTTTTTTCTTTCATTCTTCGTTTTAGTTTTATTGCAAGCGAAAATCAATTTTCAGTTAATCTCTCTACCTCTGTGTAAAAAAAAAAATATATATATATATATATATATAGATATCTGTGTACTTGTCAATGTATAAAACATTATTTTTATAATATTTTAAAAAAATGGCTAACAAATTGTTTGTGTGTTTTATTTTCAAATAAATTTATTTGAAAAAAAATCGTTAAAAATTTTTTATTATAATTAATAATTTGCAATTTTTCTAAGGGGAATTTTAACATATCTGTGATCAATATAAATTGCTGAGCCACGTTAGTCTTATCCGGCTTCTGCTACATTCGACAATTTTTTCTTCGTTATTGAAAGTCATTGGGATAGAAACCTGACAAATTTGATTGTGTCAGATAGCGGTCGGAGGTTCTGTGAACGGTGGCCTATCTTCATTTCGAGTCCTGCTACGAATGAATGCATAATTTGCAGCCTACACAATGTATTAATCGACAACTTGCTGTAAATATCAAATCTCAAGTTGAGAAGGGGTTATTTTATCACAGCCGCAAAAGTCCAAAATAGCATAATGTATTACGCAAATTAATAGGTGATTTGAAGTAAGCTGATATAATCGCGAAGCGCTATCTAATAAACTCGCGCAATAAAGACGCAAAACAGAAAGCAAACGAGAAAGTCAGCAACAAGAGAAAACAAGTAAAAACAATGTAGGCCACGTTTAAAAACACTAACTTACAGTTATTCAATAAACAACCTCACCAAGTTAGACGTTGTATGCGAAATAATCGCAAAACGTTCCGAACCAATTTCAATAGCATTCGTCCTTGAGCCAAAACACGTCAGTGTAATGTCTGGAATTCATCAAAGTAACTGTGGCTTGAAGACTGAACACAACAAAACAAGACAAATAGACGGACAGACGGACAGACAAACTTAAATTGATCAGCAGATTAGAAGGTCGATTTAACTCAGGCCCTTCTGGGACTAGCATATATAAATATTAATAGAATCACATATTACTTCGAAAAATTGGTCATCAAATATTCATCGGGAAGACGTGAATATTACTTAGTTCTTTGTTATGAACAGAAACCGATTCTTACCTACTTCAGTTTTAGCTAAGACTTTTCTGAACCTCGATTTCACGAAATTATATATCTTCGGATTATTTTCGATCAAACATGTTCCCTTCATACTTTCATATAGCAAATAAGACTAAAGACTTGAATCCATTAGATAACAATAATAATCACCAGCACGGATAAATAAGCCACACATAAACACAACATATCGAGAGATAACTTATTTAATATGACATCTCTCGAGAGATTACTTAATTTGTTTTACGTATACATATTATTTATTCATTTATTTACAATCTATCCAGCAAAGATACTAATTAAATGTTATGACAATATGTAGTAAATAACAGAAGTTAATATCCCTCAATGGGAACAATATAACAAAATGTTTGCACAAATAAATAGACACTGCATAAACTAAGAGGATTCATTGTATTAACTTACGGAACAACAACTAAACACATTATAATGAGACACGGTCAACAATTGTATACCCTACACTGTTTTCCTTCCACAGTTATTCGTAGAAGAACCTTTCAAAATACGATGTTATATGTGACGTTGTCGAAAAAATGAACCGATCCTAACCATTCTCAATAAGGTTCGTTGTTGAATTAAAAAAATGGCATCATACCAGATTTCATCAAAATATCTCGAGAATGGTGAACTGTAGATTCGCAACGCAGAAAAAAAACACGACAGTCAAACGGTCTCACAAACTTAAATCGTTTTAGAAACTGTTCTGGGTGATACACTCGTCCTCCTAAATTTAATATACCCACAAGTGGTATAGGGTATAATGAACATGAAAACTTCACGCACAATCCCTCTGTTCACACCATAATATGCTTTGACCCAAGGACGAACGTCACTATAAATAATTCGAAACGGTTTTAGCAATCGGCTTTGTCTAACCATATTGTTCTTACATATTTTGGCATACGACTTATGCAACAAAAGTGGAATTTCATTGCAATGACTTTGTAGATCAATAGGAACATTGTTAGGATTACTAGATACAAATAAACACAATGTGTTATCTGCTTACGCTATATAGGTATTGTTAACAAGGGAAAAATGCGAAATATTTAACTTAATGAGGCACTCCGCCTCCAAATTTCTTTTTTCAAGTGTTCTGAGTTCCGCTTAAAACGTCAGGCGTCAGATAAAATCAATTCATCTGATCATTATCGTAGCTTCTGTAGTTAGTCCGCATTTCGTTGTATCCATTTGATATAAAACGATACAACAACCAATGATGGGTAATAAAAAATTCGGTTTAAATCAAAGTTTGCCCCTTATGTTTAAAGCAGTTACCATTTTCTATGGATCTATAAATAATTAGTTGCCTACATTTCGGCTTTACCGAAATGCTTATGCAAAATAGTTTGAGGAAAACCAAAATCAAGTCTCTTACTGAGCCGATTCAGTTATTTAAATTTTTCAGTGTAGTGCCAACTACATGTGAACGAACACCCTGGGAGACAAGCCTTTATAACCTAAGCGATTGTTTTCAGACAAGCATGCGACAGATAATTTGTAAAGTACATAAAATAGCATAAAAGCAATTGTTGTGCACTTTTACAAAATCCGCCAACAAGTAAAATGTTATGACTAAATCCTTTCCCGTTGCTGTCATAACGATCTTCACGAAGCTATGCGTAGAATCAACAATTTCGAATGCGTTTACAATTGAGATGAATGTTGACTTTGAAAGGCCTCTTGCCAGCGAACGAAAAGAGCCTTGCGAGAAAACGTGCAAAGATTTCAGTACTGCTGCACAATTGACCTTGGGCTGATAATAAATCTCATTTCTCGCTTTGTCGTATATGTGAGATATGACATAGTATATAATAATAGTAAATGTTTAAAACATTTCAATGAAAACTGCAACAAACAGACGAACGTAAAGAAGAAAACAAAAAAAAAAACAAAAAGAAGATTGAGATAAAAAACTTCGCGTTCACCTTGAACCTTTCCTACTTGGCACGACCAATCATCTGTTGTTGATTCCCTGCAATTTTAAAAGAAGAAAGAGACGAAGAAGAAGAAGGGAAAGGAAACCATATAAAAAGTTTATATGAAAAAGAAAAATATCATATATGTTGCTTTTGAATAATGATACGCGGCTGCTTTTTACATATTGCGATGGGTATTAATTCCTACTGCAGTTCGAATATGATCGCCTTAGATAAAGAAAAGGTAATTGGAAGAAAGCTTAAAACAATTTCTCTCTTATTTGTTTAGCAATTAGTTCTGCAAGGTGAATTCGTTGCAGCTGCCTCCGAGTGCACTTAAAACATGTTAACTTAAACACATTGCCACATATTCTGTGGAACATGAATGCGTTGATTTAGAAACGTAGAAGAAGCCAGTAATCCGTATAGGTTACTCACCTCATAAAAAATGAACATATCCATAATAGAGAGTAATTTCGATGTGCACCTCTTGAAGACAATCGAAAAAGACGAATGAAGAATTCTTCTTCCATTGGTAGTAGTTCTTCTTATTCAGATCGATACAGATATTAATTAAACATTCCTCAAGCATTTATCTTGAATAGTAGTAAGAAGAAATTCGAATTTCAGATTTTCTTCATAAACTTTTGATTTAAAGAGAGAAAAGAATATCTCAAAACGACTAAGCCCATGTATCTTGAAACAACAACGTTATCTATGTCTATAAGAAGACTTATTTTTTAGGAAGCACTGCGGTTCCTTTTCGTGTTGGGTACTGTTTCGGGGATAATAAATTTGTTTGTTTGAATGTTAAACACAAGAGAAAACTAAAATTATATCGTCGAGTCAGAATCATTTTCTAAATCATTTTCCAAACCTATTTAATGTTGTCCCTCTGTCCAATGTCATTGATAATTTTCGAAATATTTCAAAGATATCTGGTATACCGAAGTATTTTGGCCTAAGAACAGGGACGATTGAAAATGAATTAAACTTGACCAATTTTATGACCACACCTTAATTCGAAAAAGTCCTTATATGAAGAAAATCTTGCAAATTTTCAAAATTTTTAGACAAAAATCGCTGAATAATCGCATTTCGGCATAAAAAACTGATATGAAAAATTTACGAATAGATCAATATCTTGGGAACCCCTACTACACAACTGTTCCTACAAAAAGTAAGTCTTTATATAGCAAAAAGGCGGACTTTTAATATTTTATGATGAAAATTGTACTGCAGTAATTTAACATAGAAATTAACTATACCAAGGTTGGACCACATGCGTCTATTTTTGAAACCTACCTAATATAAGAATTCTCATGGAAAATAAACCAATATATGGCGACAAAATTGAATTTTTGCTCCTTTATATTATAAATAGGTGAACAATTTGGACTTCCATCAAAAATATACTTTTATATATATACTTAATATATATAGAATTATATTAAGCGAAACGATATAGTGTAGCCCGACTTTGCCCGACTATAGTTTTGTAATTCGTTTTCGTTAAACACTCGCCTTCACTTTCTTCCTGGAGCAGAAATTAACATGATTAAAAAGGCAGACTATAACCTGGCTCCGAGCGGATAATAGTCAAATCAAGCAACTAAAAAAATTATATTCGGTCGTGACCGACTCTTTTATATCCATTACCTAAAAAACAGCAAAAAAGTAAAAGAAGTAAAGTTTGATGCTATATAACATGGAGTGGGCGCGGCTGATTTTTTCTATTTTAGGCATTGTTGGAATATATTCTTGATAATATGTTCATTTCCGCTAATGGTAAATGCCACCGAATTACGCAGACAGACAGACGGACATGTTTGAGTGCATTCGAAATTTAAAATTGGCCAAGAATTTATATACTTTAAGGGGATTTCGAAGCTTGTTTCTGCGCCTTATAAACGTATTGAAAAAACATGTTGATGCACTATAATGGCGAGGATAGGCGAGGTCAACTTTTTACATTTTTGTGC